ACGCTAAATTGACCAATCAGAGCGCGCGCTTTACTTTGGTTATGTTATAATAAGTGTTGGTCATGGAATGATGTTTCTCTTCTACCAACAGGTTCTGTATCAGTTCCTACTTTGGTGTCTCCAGTACTTCGAGGACTTACTGAACTCTTTTTGATGGTGGAAAACCTCGCACAGGTCACTCATTATATTCTTAATCTTTATGTAGTTATGTAACTTAAATGTTGTTGTTTCAGCAAAGTTCTCTACTTTCTGACCGATTTCACATTTTATTTTTCCCGTTTAGGACTGGGGCATGGCTGAGGACCTCGTGGTTGGTTTTACAACAACCGAAAGTTTAAAGCGATGCTTCTCACAGGTGAATGAAAATAATTAGAAATTACTTTATAAATAAAAACAACAGACAAATTACTTTATCATCTGTAGGCCTTTGAAGGGAATTTCGTACCCACTCAGAAATCATCAGTTACGTTAATTTATCATTGTTGGCAGAAAGCAACGCAATGCTTGGAATAAAATTTTGACTTCGTTTAAAACTTGTAAGGAACACAGGTGTAGTAAATATTTACGCTTTAATTGTCTCACTTGCCGTAGGCCGTACAAAAGGTTGGTCTCATCGGTCTTGCTATTGGACAACCAAACAGGGCTTCTGAAGCTCTTATCAAGGCTGCCTCCAATCCACAACCGAATGCGGATGGACTCAAAAAGGTACGAGATCTATAACGTGATAAAACCACGCGGGATATTGGAGAACACGAGGAAAGCTTATGAATCCCGAGCCGGAAAGCTTAAGAGCTTAAATAAATATAGCAAATGCGGGCTCTATAACTGATAAAGCATCCGTTCGGAAACAGAATTGACCAATCAGACGATGCGTACTAGCATATAAAAGGACCTCGTGTTGAAACAATTAGATCACCCCCCTGATGAAGGCAATAGACAGGAGTGTCGAAACATTGGGTCTATAAATTGTAATTCCCCGGCTACATTCATTAATCCTTAGACCAGAGTAGCATCAAACTGTGTCTGATTATCCAGCTGGTTGCTTTGTGAACTTAAATATATTATGCCCATGTATGTTATACTGAAATGTTGATAGAAGTTGAGCAAGTTATACATTTTCGTTGTTCTCAACAGAAGTCAATGGTAGCCTCGTCTGTAAGGTGAGTCAGCTGTCTCCTTGCTTTTGAAGGATTTCGTCATATTGTCCCAGTGATATGATTGTTGAACACAACTGATATGCTGTTGCATGGTTGTTCATGTTATGTTGCTGTTTGTAGATTTAATCTTAAATATAAAAGAAGGATGCTCTACGGTGTTTACTTGATGGATGTTTATTTCGGAATCATACGAGTTAAAACCTAACTTGAAAGAATTGTGTTCAGATTTGTCTGCATTCGAATCAGCCCAATTGTACTTTCCATCAAGTAACTAGGAATTTTTTGTGATATTCAGCTTCCAGCTTCCTTTTGCAATCACCACTGCCGCCGATGATAATGAAGATGACACAACAGGAGATGGATCTAGTGATGACTCGGACGATAGCAGCTCCTCTGACTCCTGGAACTGATCACGTGACTCAGAACCACAACACTGACTGGCTGTCAAGTCACGTGAACACCATTCTTAGGAAAGTGAATTGATTCAAGAATTAAAAAGATAATCATTTTGCAGATCATTTGTGTACACAGAAGAAGAGCTGAACTATCAAGTGGTTCAGTTTATCTGAAATATTGAATCTTGGTTTGATGTGGTATTTTAATCACTGGTTCAAACAGACGAGTATGGATGAACAGTGATTCTTAATGGCAACTGAATTCCTAGCTTTGAATACTATCATTAATTGTCAGAAACTGAAACGACTGCCAATTATTTTCGCAGGTTAAACAGGATTATGAAATTCTGTTTTCACCAACGAAGACATTTAATGTTGCTGGTTTATGACTTCAGTCAAGACTTTTTTCTCTAAATCACCTTTAATTTTTAAAAGCGCATACTTAATTGATAGTCAAGTGTGCCACCTCGTCATGGTACGTCGAGTGATAGTAATATAGGACCTCGGTCCTAGGCCGCGCGGGAATGCCGTTGTAGACGTCCTATACTACTACTGATCTTCTGAACTTAAACTGGTTTGTATTCCTTCCACGCGGTTAAGTCACCTTTACTAGTTGGGGCACTATGTAACGCATGCAGTGAATGTAATTCATACCTTTATCTAAGGCTTAAAGGTGAAAGAAGGACTATTTTTAATACAAATCAGAGCCAAGATTAGTACTTATGCTAAAACGCTTAAGTTGAAAAGATAAAGAAAAAAAATTGACGTAAAGCGATGCTCGGAGCTTTTCAGGCAATCACCCCAATAGAGTTTTATTAAATTACCCACTCTTTTGGCGTTTAGTATAGTGCAATATTTCTGAATAAAGGCACTTCTTTGGTAGAGCAAAATTCAGTTTGCTGAAGCTTTTATTGCAAAGCTGTCGCTTGTTATGTTTCTTCTTGAAAGGAAATCTGTTTTGCAGTTTGCTAGTGAGTTACAAGATAAATGAAATAGGAACTGCAGAACGACATGCCGTGTCGAAACAAGACTTTTCTTCCCCCTAAACAACACTGGTGAATGTTTTTGAGAAATACAAGATTATGAACGTCGGAAATCCACTTTCCGCTGTATGTCGGGCCGTTGGAAAAGCACCTGCGCACGGAGGTGCCATCGCAAATTGTAAGCTATCGTAAACCGCCATTTATGATGACACTGATTGTAACGATAGAATGATCAAGGTGGTTCTAAAGAAGTATCCGGCTTGTGCTCCATTATCAATCTACCCGACGTGAAAGGTTGATCTTGAAAACTATTCAGAACGCTAGTGATGAATAGCGTGAAAGACCACCGATGTTTGTGTAAATTCTGTTGACATCCTGTTTCAACAAATTTAATGGTATGTTGGTGCGGTTTGGGGATGCTGATGAAGGATGGACTGGTGTTATTCTGTGGTTTTAATTTATTTTGTCAGCATTCCAAAAATTTTATTCACCTCTTCCTCTCAAGAGGCTGTCTCACTTATTTCCACCGTCACAACGTCTCGAAAATGCTCGTACATGTGCTGATTCAAACACTCAGAACTTATAAAAAGTCGAAAACGTACTGGGATTTTTGCATGTATAAAGGTCTAAACTTAACGGCTGCGTAGGAAAGAGTTGTCAATCAGGTCCCAAATAGTAATAGTAATCAAAGTTTAATGTTTTCACGTGGGGCACGGTTACCCATATTGCCCGAGGCAGGGGCTCATGTATGAAACGCAAGACAACAACCCACCCATCCTACCCCAGGGAAGGACATCCATCTTGTGCGTGGGAAATTAACGTCTCCTACCCCTAACCCTGCAGGAGACGGGACCTCCATTTATTCGTCCCTATCCGAGAAGACTAGAATATCTAAACCATTTCTTGATGTTATAGAAAGGCAGCAAATCCCAAAACTTAACGTCTAAATCAAGACTATTTACGGCCATCGGCCGATGGCGACTTGCAAAGGTCAGAACATGCTAAAATTCGCCTTTTCAAATGCATTGAGAGGGAAATTTCAACTTTCTTGGCAAGCTTAAAGTGTCGCCGTAAAGTAATCTGATATTAAATTCGTTTATTGTTTGTTGTTTGTTATTATTTTTACAGAACATTACAAGCAAATTTACACACCCCGCATATAGCATTAGCTAGTCTTGGCGGGTATTAGAAATAAAAAAGTAAATACTACACATTGCAAACTAAAGAAGTTTGATTACCACAATAAACTAAAGAGATTTTACAATAAACTAAAGAGATTTCATTACTACAATATTATTGGGGTTATAAGCCATGCATTAGTTTACTACATTATAAGCTAAAAGATACGTACAGTTGTCATACAAATTAAATACAATTCGTGGCTTACCTCTGCGAATTAAATATTTTACAATGTTACAGAATGTGCATATTTTTCAACTTTCGATACGTGTCGACGTCCCTAAGGAATGGGGAAATAATTATGGTCCCTAAAGCAGTCAGAAAATTATTTCGGATCAAACCAAATCTGATTTAGTTCTTTCCCAAGTAAAGTTTCAGTTGACAGAGTTTCAGGAAAAATTATTTTTGACGCGGGTGGAACTAAGAGAGGCAGTCTCTTAAGAACTGCGTTCGTAGTGCTACGATATTTTTCCATTCCATTCTGAATAACTTGCGTCAGTGTCGGGTTGTACTGTCTTTATAGTGTGATGGAATGGGAGAGAGATACGAACACTTCGGGTGATGAGAACGACCTGTAAGGAAGGGGGATAGGGGGGGGAGGGGGCTTGCTCTGTATCAATGGCTTGTTTTTAGGATAAAGCCAACTTGAGTCAGAAATTAACCACGGCATTACCGTGACAGCGTGACGTAAAGAGAACAGTGTTGTTTTTCTTGACAACACAAGCTCGCAACGCTAGTTTCACGCCGTGGTGTAAAATATATTTAATCATGACCCGAAGTCTAATTTCTATACACTAAAAAACACTAAAGTAAGGAAATACTTTTGAGCGCATTCGTGAGACAAAATTGTACTTAACTGTGATAGCACCATGTTGTATTCCAAATCAATGTTACATCAAGAGGGAGCAAATGTCGTGAAAGAAGAATAATTTATGCAATTCTTAGTGATATACATACTAATTATTAAATTAGACAAGTTGGCAGTCACGCCATCTTACAATGAGAAAACTGCCCAAATCACAAACGTCATTACTCCACTGACTAACCCAGGCTATGAAATACAAATCAAAATGAAAGTTACTTAAAATCCATCAAGTAATAATGCATCGCGATCTTCATATCTTGATACTCAGCACACGGTTCATGTACACCTGCTCCTTCGTCTGCACTCCCCGACCATGCCGGCATATCTTCTTTCCCAAGGTATAGAATGGTACACCTTTCACCAAACATTTCTGTTAAACTCTTCTCGGAAAGAAACTTAAATTGCGTCGGCGTCTTCTCTGGAGATTCAGGGGCAAAAAACTCCAGAAAATAACGGCCATCTGGTTTGAGGCAGCTGAGCATGATGTCTGTGTACTGCTTGAGTCGACCCTCCTTCATCATGTTGATTGCGGTCATAGATCCGCGATCCCAGATGAAATCGAATTGGCCTCCAGAAATCTCGACTGAGAAATCGAAGATACTACACTCAAACAGTGTGATATCCTTACCATTGGCTTTGAAAACTGTACCGTGATTGTCAGGAGGCAATGACACAGATTTCTCGTTGTATGTTAACTTGTTGTCACGGTAAAATAGCTCGATTCCCTTTCGAATCAGTTCAACGCCTACCACTGAGTGCCCTTGATCAGCTAACCAGATCATGTCCAACGATTTTCCACAGAGGGGCACCAGGATTCGGAGATTTTTTCTTCCACGAGTAACTTCGTCGTGATGTTTTGTCAACATGGCGTTTACTTCGTCCGTGTGAAATTCAGGGTTGTCGGTTTCCCAGTCTTGGGCCCATGTCTCTTTGCTTTCCATATCGAAGGAGGCAATGTGTTCTAGGTTTTCTTTAGCATCCATCTTCGCGGCTTATTAGTCCTGGCACAAGGACACTTTTCTAAACAACTCTTTTTAGAATACGTAATGCTCGATGTAACATGAGTCAGAGAGGAGACCGGAACCAACCAACCAGCAAAAATACATGTTGTTCCTGACGGCGAAGTCACAAAAGAAAATTGTTTTCCTAGCTGTGGTTGAGAGAGGTGATGGCTGCTTTGACGATTTAGGAAAACTTGCTTCCTTTTAATCTTTAGCGTGATTTTGGTTGCATGTCGTGATCGTTATTCGTGACTGACTGAAAATGGATGGAGCTAATGTCACGCGGCGCGAACTTTATGGACCCTTGTGATGTAAACGTTCTAAATTGTAGATTTTTAGTGAGTCCATAAGTTCAAGCACAGCGCTGATTATGTCTGCTGAATGAGGTATCTGTTTTTCTTAGAGATGAATTAATTTTATTCAGAAATATTGGGTTTTACGATCTGGAGGTAAAGAGATAACGTTGATATGAAATCAGTCACTTTTATTTTGGAATGGAAGTGTGAGTGAACGTTACTCTCTCTTAACAGGAGTTTGTCAAAATTACCGTTTTCCGACCCTGAAGGAAAGAAACGCGTGCGAAAAGGTGCAAATGGAGACTGGGGTTAGATCTTGAGTAGGTTCTTCCTCAGGTGATTGTGGCTCCCAAATTTTTAAGAGCAGAAAATTGACGTTAAATTATAGTGTCGTAACTTATTATTCAATGATTGTTTATGATATTTTCGAGGTGACAAGAAAAGTCAGCTTTCGAAAAGCTTTACTGATATGAAAAAGTGAAACTAACATCACACATGCCAGAATATATTTCCAGTAATTTACTGTGCTTGCATCTTCCTCATGTAAGCTCAGTAGAAAGTTCATGCGCATGGAAATTGTTTGCTTTTTGTGAAAATTCCGAATTTTATCTTTTTATTTTTAATTTATTTTTTTAGTAGTACTTACAAAGCCATAATTTTTAGTTTTCATCGGTTGTTGCGCTTTTGCACAATTTACATTGCACCATTGCGCTTTTGCACAATTTACAGTGCACCAGAAAGCATATAGAAAATTTTCCTTTAATTTAAATAACAATACAGTAAAGAAAAAAACCTGTCTGTTTGAAGATCAACACAATAATGTAGGTGGAAAAGGAGAACTTTGTTTACTCAGGCTTTAATGAGATCTTTACACAAAAATGGGTGTAACTGCGTTATTTATGAAAGTTTGGAGCGCAGCGAGAGTGCCAGCGCACTAAATTACAGCGCTTAAATTGCTGTCTCTGTCGTTTACGCCGACGAAATGCGCCAGAAAAGCTGTACAAAATGTCAACGATATTTGTAAGTTTTGCTTAACCAACTTGAAGAAAAACAATCGCTCTTTTGAGAACTTGTTTAAGCCTTCAAAGCGACAGGATAAATATCGTGTTGAGCTTGCTGAAGTTCTACGAAACCTAGGGACACCTGTAAGTAAATCATCACAACATTCAGAGCGTGTTTGAGCTCCTTGTGCATGAAAAATAAGAAACGGTGCAGACATTCTTGCATGGCTTCGAAAAGCTGCAGAAACTGAAGTGGTTCATTATTCTGATGGCGATCGAAAGAAGCGCCTATTATCAACGACAATAACATCGGAAAGGCAATCAAACACCAAAGCTAAAAGAGGAAAATCGTCGAAGCTAAATCTTTTCGATGTCAAGAAAAAGCTGAACACCTACCGTCTTCCAGACCACGTTTCAACCGCGTGAGTTTCATCATGAGAAGACACACGAGGCTTGCACTGTAACTATCTCGGAGAGCTCCATACAATTCCTTATAATAAAATTGAGCTTTTTTAAAAGCCTTAGTCGAGGCGCGGTGGGTGTTGTCACATATGATCCTCGCAAGGATCATACGTGACAACACCCGCCGCGCCACGAGTAACGCTAAAAAAGCTCCATACGATTCCTTATAATTTTATTATAAGGAATTGTATGAAGCTCTCTGGGATACTTACTGTGCAAGCCCTGTGTGTCTTCTCATGGACAACGATCAAAGAGAGACGTTTATGTGGATCACTAGAAGATTTGAACTCTTCAGTAAACTCACGAGGAAATGCATCCTCTGCTGAACAGAAGAGAAGCTTGAAAGTAGAGTTCTTTAGATCCTCGGTCGTAAGCTTTGACAACTCAACAGCACCGCCAGGATTTTTTAAGATGTAGTATCTGATCGTTTACAATGCTTACTAGTGGCGCGATAACTAAAACAACAGTAGAACCGTCCCCAGAATTCGTGATCTCAGAAAACTTTTCATAAATAAAACTCTTTCCAAATCCTGTTGGAAGAACAGCCAGAACATCGTATCCTTCCAATAGACAATTTATAGCTTTTTCTTGCTCTGGTTTCGCTTGAAACGACATACGTCATGTTCACATACCATCCAAAACAAGATGGCCGCTCGACCGGAAGTCAGCTTGCAGCTCAAATCGTGCGTGACTACGTGTATGTCAATCAAACCTAACTGCTAGCGAATCAAATGCTTACGTTCGCCGGCAAACGTAGACACGAAAATTTGAATAGGCTGAAAGCAGGCTCTTTTTCCGCCCCAAACCCCTAAACCCTCCCCACCCCCCTCCCTTAAAAGAGCCAGGCTACGCAGGCTACGTAGCAATAGTCAAGCATGCTGAAATGGATATAAACAAGGAAAACAACGGCGAGGAGAGCGCAACTTATTAAATTCTCGACTTAGATTTTAATCCAGCCGAGAGGGTGTGATACATCCATTTATGTTTCAAACGAAACATGCTCGTCTTCAGGGGAAGGAGATACCTGCTGTTGGGGAGAAAGAGAGAGAAAGTCAGGAAAATGAGTTTCAAGAAGAAACGCCCACCCGCTTAGTCGCTCACGTCTTGGAAATCGTAAGTGGTTCTCTTGCGGCAACTGCTAAGAGAAACCTACGGAAAACGAGAATGTATGCACCTTAGAATTAAATGTACTAGGACACCGACTCAATTTGAAAGGCAAAAGGTTTTTTCTCAAACAAATCCAAGCTGTGGAAGGATAGTTATTTTGCTAACTGAAGACCGCAGTGCCCGCGTTGGATTCGTTTTACATTGCAAACTTGGAATGAGACGAACTACCTTTGCAGTTACAGGAACCCAGCTTCGGTGTATAACTGAACACGAGTCACTTAGAACTAAGAACAGCCCCAGTTGGCATGCAACAAGTAAGAAATTATTGACTTGAAGATTATTCTTCGTATGCGTAAACACCGGCTGACAAAATTGATTAGAAACACTAAATTGCCAAAGTTAACGCTGACAAAAGGCAGAAGTTAATTGTTACGAATTGAATGTTGTTTGTTTCAGCATTTACCATTATTTGCAATGGTGCTTTATATCTTTATTGCATAGAATTACCTTCAACGCAGTATTTTTCATTCTAAAATGTTTCAAATGTCGCGATTCGTGAAAAGTAGACGGCTTTGTTATTCTCGTCGCGCGAGAAAGTCGCCTCTGTCATACAGTGTTTACATTAAAAATTACCTGAATTTAACTTATTTATTTATTTATAATAACTTTATTGTAATAATCAATACAAAAGGCTGCCATCAGAGAGGAACTGAATCCTCACGTAAGATGACCCCCAAAAATATCTACAAAGCTATGAAGGAAATATAAATCGGATAAAAAGTATTTGTAAGGAAAAATGTAAAAGATATCACTAAAATGTAACTATCAGAATAGAGTTATTAAAATCATGTAATCATCTAATTAAATATGCAATCGCAACAATTTTATATTCATCACACACCAGTTAAAAAGTGTTCTCTTAAGCCCTTTTTAAATTTTGACAATGAATCGGCACATATTAGAGAATCTGGTAACGAGTTCCATTTATCCATATATCTATGCCAGAAAGAGAATTTTAAGATATTAGTTCTTGAAAAAGGTTTACAAATCTTCCTACTATTTCTTGATCTAGTGCTAGCACGAGAGAACGACAAATAATTATCAAGCTTAGCTCTCGAGAAACCATAATAAACTTAAATAGTTTACTATTTAAAAACTATAATGAAACTAAAATGAATCTTTCGATTTCTTTTGATAGCATAAGCACTGCATAATTACGTCAAGTAGTTGGTTGGAAGACGTAAATATTTTCATATTACTTTTATGGTGTCCAATCGACATGATTTAGTGAAATATGGGCGCCTG